AACAGCGCTGAGTCTAGCCCCCTCCCAAGGCACCAAGCTTGCCGTAGTTGTTTTTAGCCATTGCAGGCTCTCCTCGTTGAAGCTCCAGGAAGCGCGGTCGTGTCCCCTGGCCCGTGATTCCGTCAATGGCCCCCAGAAGCGCCAACTGGACAAGTCCCATCTGGTCCTCATCCATTCGGACTTCTGGGTATCCTTGGGGGACCACCACTGCTTGGATCCCCGACAGCGCCTCCCCGTACGTCTTACCACACTGTGCTGTGGCCTTAAGCCTCTTAGAAACAGGCCGGTCAGAAATCGGCTCACTACCGTCCGACCGCCCACGTTTCTTTCAGAGTCCACTTGGCCTCGGTTCAGCTGCCTGTGGAGTTGGAGTGGACTCGAGCCAGGTTCCGTCACGGACCCCTGTCCTTTTCTCGCCTCTGCCTTCCGTGCAGTTTTTTAAGTTTACCCTTTTGCGCATCCGAAAATTGTTTTCTACCTTCCAGATTCAGTCTGTCGACTCCACTAGAGATAGCAGTCACTGGTGTTTACTTCCCAGTGGCTGTCTTATTTTCTGCCCAGTCAGCACTTACTGCTTCCCCCGGCAGATGTGGACGGCCCCCTTTCGGGTTCCTGTTTTTTATTTTCTCGGTCCATAAAGGTCCTACGAGTTTGGAGGAAATAAAAGTCACCGCCAGGCAGTGCCCCATACCTGATGTAAGGCTAAATACGACGGGGTGCGCCAGGTTTCCAAAGAGATCGTTCACGATGCGACATTTTTACCTACCCCCACACCATTCAGCCCTCGGCACGATGCATTTCCACCTTGGCTTGGGTAGCTGAGCTATTTCTTAGTTTTCACTACTCTCCCTCGACCTTTCCGGCTTGGGTGACCCTGCCAGGAGTATGAAACTCCCGCCGGTTTAGCTCTTGGGTTCACTGCAGCTACTTAAGCCCCTCCACCAACGACAAGGTCATACAGCTCCTAGGAGGGGCAGTTTGTCACAGTTCTTGAACTGTCCAAATGATACTTCCATGAGAGCTGGTACTAGTTCTGAGGTCGGAATTTTCAATGTTTGCATATGCGCTTTTATGATCTATCCTAATAAAAGGAGCAGTTTTAAAATTATAGAGTTATAATTATAATATCAATATGAATTCTGTTTTAAAGAAAACAAATCGAAAAATTGATATAATTTTACATCTGCTTTAAGAAATATAAGAGTTTTGGAACCTATGTCAAGCAATTTATTAGGCTGTGAAGAAGTCCTTACAATCACTTTTAATGTTAGAAGTATTACTGCATCAACAAAAAAGTGAAATATAAAAAGAAAACATTTTGCGCTAACTAACTTGCGTTTACTTTTTTTAGTTCTGAATTAGTTCAAAATACAGTTTAATATGCATACAGTTCTGCATCGATGAAGAAGAAAAAAAAAATTCTAAGATAAAAGGCCTAACAAGAATATTATTGATAATAGCTACCCACACATTTACTGAAAATCTATCTTGAAAATTTGAGGACTGCACAATCCATTTCTGGTAGTTTTAATAAAACTCGTGTTGTAAGAGATAAAACTTAACTGGGGTAGTCTAGTGGCTGTAAGGCCTGAACATCTGCACATGAAATGAATACTGATTTTTTTGCAATGTTGTCCAAACTTTCTTTGGTTTAATTCATTATAGCATTAACTTCTTGATTTCTTGAGTACTTGTTGGATCTTCGTCAATGGGATTCAAAATTTGTTCCTTCCGTTGCATGTTTTAAAATACTCTAGATCTTATCGCAACTATGGAAGGCACCATCGTTTTCGTATAATGGCGGTTTTTCCACAAAAAAATTTGAGGTCGCAAAGTCGAAATCTATTAAATTGCACCTGAGTTTCTCGGTCTTAAAAATCCTATAAAACTTTCCACTTACTCTCATTTTTCCATCATGTAATTCCTGAAGTGCCTAAAAATAGCGTAATTATATTGTGTGTTTCAAACACTAATATTATTTACATTTTTCTCATTTGCTCTGCTTTTATAACCAATCAGCCCTTACTTTTTGTCTATTTTAAAAATGATGAGATTACCGCAGCAAAATTAAACAAAACATTATTCTTTGAAACTTAACTTTTTACTACCAAGAAATTTCACACAAGATAGAACAAATTATTTTAAGCGACATTTTATATGAATGGGGGATGTAGAATGTTTTGTTTTTGGAGTGACTGTTGAAAATTGAAAAACAAAATTACTTTTGTGAAATATGTTTGAATAAACAAGCAAAAATTCACTAAGTCTTACAAATACAGTTGAATCTCTATAATCCGGCACGTCCAGTAATCAGGTGTTATTTTTTCCGTCTGTTACTACGCATGTCGCGTTTGTCACTATTCGTGAAGAATACAGTTTATACAGTTATAGTTTAGTTACCACAATAGGAGCATTGTTTATTCATCCTCTGCACTTATTTGTACAAAATTATGTTTGTCAGACACGTTTATTCGACAGTTAAATTTGTTAGGGCAAGTAATTTAAAATGTCAAGTAAGAGAAAACAAAACATTACTGTTGAAAGAAAAGATGATTATTTTGGAGATATTAGACAAAGGTGAAATAATGTGCAAGCTTGCCAAAGAATACGACGTTGGGCGCGCTACTTTATATGATCTTAAAAAGAGGAGCTTGAAAATAGCGGATCTTGTGAAGACAATGGAAAGTGGAGCAGGAAAAACGTAAGACATTACGAGTCGGAGAATGTCCAAAGATGGAAAATGCTCTCTATACATGGTTCTTACAACAGCGTTCACAACATACTCCACTTTCTGGAGGAATTTTAAAAATGAAAGCTCTTGAATTCTACAAGGTAATAACAAAAAGGGCTGATTTTCGGGCTAGCGACGGATGGCTGGATAAATTTCGAAAGGTTAGTAAAGACAGAATAACTTTTATGCCATGCTCCAATGCAAGTGGAAGCCACAAACTTGAATTAATGGTCATTAGTAAATCAAAAAATCCCAGGGCCTTTAAGAATATTTGCTTGCCAGTCTGCTATAAACACCAGGCAAAAAGTTGGGTTACAAGACAAATTTTTGCGGAGTGGTTCAGCAATTCATTCCAGGAATAAGAAAGTTTCTGAGGCGATCCAACCTTCCTGAGAAGGCTTTACTCATACTAGATAATGCACTAGGACATCCTAATGAGGAAGAACTTACGTCAAGCGATGGCATGATTCAGACCATATTCTTACCACCAAATTGCACACCTTTACTGCAACCAATGGATCAAAATGTTATTCAAATGATCAAATCAAAATATAAAAAGAAATTGCTGTTACATATCATTGCTGAGGGTGGAGACATAAAGCAGCGTCTCAAAGAAATAAATTTGAAATATGTAGTTTTTTCCTTTGCCCATTCATGAAACTCTGGTTCAAGCAGTTTAATAAAATCTTCCTGGAAAAAACTGTGGCCTGACATGAATCAGTTATCTGAAGAAGAATGGGATGCTGATGACGATCTTCCCCTCGGAGAGTTGCTCAGAAGTGCTAAAGAACAAGGTCTCCATGTTAATGGAAAATTTAGCTCTTTGGCTTGAAGGAAGTGCTGATGAGATTGAGGAGATGAAAAGTGATGAAGAAATATGCAAAGAAGTAGAAGAAGCAAACTCAGACCAAGAAGCAGAGTCAACAAATTCTAACACAATAAAAGCACATTGTTTCAATACCTGTATAACTTGGGCTGAGGAAAATGGCGAATCTGCCGAGGAAGTCATGGTGCTACATAATTTGCGACAGAAGGTGTTTAAACAAGGATTAAATGACAAGAAACAAATATCTGTGAAAGATTATTTTACAGGAAAATGAAAACATTATAATATACGTATATGCACACACAAATGTAGTATGTATGTATTATCTTTGTTAATAAACAATTAAAAGTAACGGTTTTTTAATTTAATACTGTTTACATATACATTTTCCATTAATTTGAATTTTCCAGTACTCTGACACTCTTAGGTTTTTAATCGTGTCAGATTATTGAGATTGTACTGTACATTAACTAGTGGTGGAGGTACAGGAAGTCAGTAGCACAAGGATTCTCAAAATTTCAAAGCCATTAAGTATTCTGGAAATTCAATTAGTGAATTTAATTCCTAGTGAAACTTCTAAGGAAAAAGGTCTCTCATTTTCAAACGGCAGAGAACGGCATAAACAGAAATGGCACAAACGTTTTTTTATTTAATTTTTAAAATGAGAATCACACATAATGTATTGAAAATTAGTATTTGTTCTACAATGTCAATGTGACAAATTCATTAACGCAGACATTTTTAATTTATAAAAAAAATCCAGATTTTTACTGATGATTTTTTAGATTTTTTACATATTACGTTTAAAATTGTATTTTTTACAAATGATTTCTAAAGGTTATTTTGTAAAATGAGTAATTTTAGTTTTTTTTTTATTTGAAATAAAAAAATTAACTAAAACAGAACTATGAAGAATATTAAGTTTTGTGAAAAATTAAAATAAATGTGATTGTATCTAAAACAAACTGGAAATTAAAAACTTCTAATCAAATTTCCAAAATACTCTGTGGTATTGAAATTATGGTACTTCATGATACAAATCCCTAATATTTCCACCACTGGTTGTCATATTTGTAGAGAACTTATCAAATTTTTGCCTCTAATTAATTAGACATTTCACTAGCCTAAGTTTTACTCTAAATCAAATATCTTCAAAAATATCCTCCCTCTTATCATGTAGGGGCGTGTAATCCAAGAAATGGATATACACATACGCCTCTACGTGATAATAGGGACGATATGATATACTTTTTAAATTTCAAAACTCGTATCTCGAAAACAAAGTGTTCTATAACCACATTTGTATAGAACTTTGTAATAGTTAATTAATTTATAATTAATTTTATCACCTTTCGAAGCTGATGATTAAATCATGGAATAACCTGTTGAATAGGTTAAATGGGAAAAAGTTAGTTTGGTATATTTATACATGTTCATTTTTAGTGCTGCAAAAGAACAGAAGAAGAGCACCAAATCAGCCAAAAAAGCTACAGCTCCAGCTAAGGCCAAGCCAGCACCAAAACAGAAAATTAGCAAAAATGTTCCAAAGGCGGCACCAAGAGTAGGAGGAAAGCGTTAAATATGTTATGTTCAGTTTTTCAAATAAAACAATGATATGAACTGATTCTTTTTATTTAATGCATTATAAATGAGATGTGAATGTGTGAACTGGTAGAATTTATTTATATTATGTTTCTGGTGCAACCTTCGGTGCAAGATAATTTTACTAACACTTAATTTTTTAGATAATGTAGGTTAGGTGGATGCCGTGAAGGGTTTAGATTTCTTGACATTCGAGGGAAATGTTCTGAAAACCGGTGTGGAATTGGCGACAAATTTTTTGGGAAATAACCGAACGGCCATGGGTAATCTACAATTAAAACTGATTTCTATTTAGCTTTTTACACACAAAAATGTTTTAACGCAGACTAACAGTATTTTTGTGTTAAATAAAATGTCAATAACATTCCTCGCAGTCGGCTTTTTAAGTTGCCCCTAATTAAAGAAATTAATATAACGGCTCAAAAATACAAAAAATACTTTTTTCTAAATTTGGAATGCTGTATATTTCAACACATTGTTATAGTTTCATAGACTCTTAAGGTGTACGAAAATACCATTCGAATAATTCTAGGGGTGATTCTACATGTTAAACTATGAAGAAAAGTTCATATGAACATAGGTCCGCAAATCATAAGGTTGCTATGGCGATTCAAAGATTGCACCGGGATGTAGGTTTTATATCTTTGGCACCGTTTCAGATAGCCATCTGAATTTTGGCATATGAATTGCCTTTAATAGTAGGTACTTTTCAGTGTTTTTACTAAATTATTATTTTAATCAGGGGCGTACCGACAGGGGAGGCCTCGATTTAATTTGTTCACATTTTTATTAAACGTCATATTTTTGCAGTTTTCTTTAGAAATTCTGATTCCGCGGTATAAATGACATAAAAAAGGTATTCTTGTAGAAAACCTGTCAGGTATTGTTAAATAGTGATAAAAAAGAAACGGTAAATGGAAAACAGATTTATAATTAAAAAAAAAAAGGGAACAATACAGAAACAAATAATACTAGTGACTTATTATTAAACCTGAATGTTACTTCTTTAGTTACAGCAAGTGTTGGAAGTGATGTCCATTCATTTCAATGCAACTGGCTAAACGATTTCTCATTGAACGTTTAACTCGTTGAAAAACACCTTGCATATTCCGTATTTCTTGGCAACAATGAATGACTCTTTGTTCCAGTTGTTGTACACTGTCAACAGGCACTGAATAAACTAAGTGTTTTAAATAACCCCATAGAAAATAGTCTAACGGATTAAGATCCGGCGAACGGGGAGGCCAAGCTACGGGTCCACCTCGTCCAATCCACCGATCTGGATAAGTCTGATTTAGATATTGTCGAACTAATAAACTGAAGTGGGCTGGAGCCCCATCGTGCATAAAAAATGTTTCTAATCTTAATCCATAAGGCAAATCTTCGAGCAAAACTGGTAAAGTGTTTTGTAGAAAATGTAAGTATGCGGGCCCATCTAAACGATGCGGCATAACATATGGTCCTAGTAACCTATTTCCTATAATACCTGCCCAAACATTAATGGAAAACTTATCTTGGAATCGAGCTTCGAAAATCGCGTGAGGATTTTCATCTGACCAAATATGATTGTTATGAAAATTTACCACTCCTTCACGCGTAAATCCTGCCTCGTCTGTAAACAAGACTTTATCGAGGAAATGACGGTCCTGATGGCATTTCATCTGCATCCACTGACAAAACTCCACTCTAGGCAAAAAATCCCGAGGTTTTAGCGCTTGAATTCTTTGCAAATGGTATGGATACAAAAGTTCCTCGTGTAAAATTTCCCATACAACACTTTTGGGAATATTCGTTTGTACTGAAATTCTTCTGGTGCTACTACCTGGATTAGCTTCAATCTGTTGTAGAACAATTTCCTCTGTCTGCGCCGTTCGGGTAGTACGGTTTCGTCCACAATCTCTCTTATTTGGCGTAAAATTACCAGTTTCTCTTAATCTCTGATGTAAACTGCTGAACAGTTTATCAGAAGGAAGCTGGCGATTTGGAAAAGTTTCTTGGTACAACCTCCGAGCTTCCAAAGCACAACCGTTTGCTTTGCCATACATGAAGTGCATGTCGGCCATTTCAGCAAAAGAGTATTCCGGCATTTTTTGAAAGACGAGAACAATGATTTTTTTCAATTACACTGTTATTAACACAATAATAATCGAATAAACTTTATTTTTAAACCTTATGTCAAATTCGTTTACCGTAACTACAGTAATTTGACCTTTTTCCATTTTCAACTTAGCACCGACATAAGCCTACTTTGATGTAGAAATTTTTATTATTGGGCGACCATGCATGCACTATTTTCTTTGGAGAGTATTTTCTCGAAAACGGCTAGCCTGACAGGTTTTCTACAAGAATACCTTTTTTATGTCATTTATACCGCGGAATCAGAATTTCTAAAGAAAACTGCAAAAATATGACGTTTAATAAAAATGTGAACAAATTAAATCGAGGCCTCCCCTGTCGGTACGCCCCTGATTAAAATAATAATTTAGTAAAAACACTGAAAAGTACCTACTATTAAAGGCAATTCATATGCCAAAATTCAGATGGCTATCTGAAACGGTTCCAGAGATATAAAATAAAACCTATATCCCGGTGCAATCTTTGAATCGCCATAGCAACCTTATGACGCATTTGCGGACCTATGTTCATATGAACTTTTCTTCATAGTTTAACATGTAGAATCACCCCTAGAATTATTCGAATGGTATTTCCTGACACCCTGTAGATCTAGGTTCATGGACTTTCAGAGCCTAGGAAGGCAGTTTTAAACACCCCTATCAAAGAAATAATATCTTGGATCACAAAAATACAAATCGGTTAGTTTTTTGCCAAAAGATCAAAATTGCTGTTCATTTTAATACAGAACTAGTTTTATAGACTCATAAGAACTGTAAGGGTAATTTTACACACCCCCATTAAAAAGATATTGAAGTCTCGGCTCAAAAATTCAAATCATTAGTTTCTTACTAAAAAATCGGAATTACCATCTACTTTAATACAGAATTAGTTTCATGAACTCGCAAGAACTATGAGGGTAGTTTTACACATTCTCATTAACAAAATATTGTCATCTGACAAAAATACAAATTGTTAGTTTTTTACCAAAAAATCTAAATTATCGGCTATTTTAATGAACTAGTTTCGTGGACCCAAGTTTTTCACGCCCTACTTAAGAAATCTCTAAAATACGAATTGCATAGTTTTTCCCTAAAAAATTGAATTACCGTTTATTTTAATACAGAACTAGTTTTAGACCTTGCATGTCCGTGAAACTAGTTCTGTTTTAAAATAAACAGTAAATCCAATTTTTAGAGAAAAACTTGCCAATTCCTATTTTTGTGAGCCGAGATATTATTTTTTTAATAGGAGTGTGTAAAATAATCCTAGTTCTTACGAGTTCAAGAAACTAGTTCTGCATTAAATAGATGACAATTCCTATCATTTATTAAAAGACTAACCGATTCGTATTTTTGTGAGCAGCGATATTAATATTTTTTTAATGGGGGTGTGGAAAACTGTCCTAGACCTGCAGATATGTAAAAGTAGTATTCCGTAATTCTGATTTTAAAAAAAGAACTAACCAGGCCCGGATCCAGAGGGGGTGGCGATGTGGCGATCGCCACCCCCAAAGCACAACATTTTTTAAAGATCTTCAATTTCTCCAAACGACAACAGGCAGTTAGTCGATATTAATGCAAGTAGAAGGATTCATTAGTGTCAAGCTCCTATGAAAGAAGTGCTTTGCGCCACCCCCAAAACCAGTCTCTGGATCCGGGCCTGGAACTAACCGATTCGTATTTCTGTGAGCTGTAGATATTATTTTTTTAATAGGTGTGTGAAAAACTGCCCTCCTAGACTTGCAATTCCATGAAATTAGTTCTGTATTAAAATAAATGGTAATTCCAATTTTTAGGGAAAAATTTACCGATTTGTACTTTTGTGAGCTGAGATATTATTTTAATGGGGCTGTGTAAAACTACTCTCCTAGTTGTGAGTCCATGATTCTGTATTAAAATCGATCTTTTGGTAAAAAACTAACCCATTTATATTTTTGAGAACTGATACATTAATATATTTTTACTATGGGTCTGTATAGTACTGCCCTCCTAAATCTTGCCAGTTCATGAAACTAGTTGTGTATTAAAATAAATGGTTATTCGGATTTTTATGTAAAAACCTAACTAATTCTTATTTTTATGATCTGAAATAATATTTCTCTAAATGGGGTATTTAAAACTGTTCTAGGCCTTACGAGTCCGTGAAACTAGTTCTTTATTAAAATAAACAATAATTTCGATTTTTAAGGAAAAAAACTGATATGTACTTTTGTGAGTCAAGATATTAGTTTCTGCTGTTTAGGGCGAGCTGCGAGGAATTCAATGAATTTTACAAGTTGAATTAAATATATTGCACATTACAAGTTTAACATTTCTTTCTTGATGTGTTTTATAAGGCTGATCTGTTTAATTATCTAGATAAAATTATAAACTGAATTTTAAATTAATTCTTTTACTATGAAAATATGAGGGGGCGGGGCCCCAGAGCCCCCCTGCACCAGCCGCCACTGCTTAATTGTAAATTACCGTACGCCTATAGTCGTTCGGTTATTTCTACAAAAATTTGTCGCAAATTTTATATCTGACTGAAACTATCTTCTTTTTGTACATGCACAATATACTCGTCTACAACTGCATAATGCACAATGTATCCGCAGTTACCCGATTAATTTCTTCTTGCAATAATATTTACTCGGGCGCCAATTTGTGTGACGACCCTTTCGACTAATTTGAATTATAATTTTAAATATGTGTACGCTTCAAATTTAGTGAAACTCCTTCAACTACAGAATACTTATCGGGGGCGGAGGTCGGCGGCCAGCAGCAATAAGTAACGTCATAGGGAGGAACCGGATTGTATTGTTTTCTGCTGGGTTAGTCTAGAGCGCCACTTTCCCTATATTTTACGTGAAGGAAACTCAATGTGAACCTTACCTTCGGTCTAAAGTGAAGAAAGTTAAATTC